AATCGACCATGAATGAGGTCTTTTCCTGATCCTTTTCGACCATGAAGATTTGGTGATATCCAGAGAAGACATCCAGGAAGCTGTATAGTTTATGACCTAACGTGTTGTCGACGAGATTATCGATTCGGGATAGAGGGTAACTGTCTTTAGGGCACGCTTTGTTTAAATTTGTGAAGTCAATGCAAACTAGTCACTTTGCACTGACTTTCTTGAGAAGGACAACGTTAGCGAGCCAATCGGGATATTGGACTTTCCGAATTAATCGTACATTAACGAGCTTAGCAATTTCTTCTCGTATGACCTTCCACCGTTTTGGCACAAGCTATCTTTTATTTTGTTTTACAGGTTTTGCATCTAGATTTATATTGATGGCGTGTTCGGTAGATATTAAAATCGGATTAAAATTGAAAAATTGGCCGTTATTGTTGACTTTTATTAGACGACTGGAACCAAATAACGGCTATATTTTTAATCTTAATTGAATTTTAAGCTTAGCCAAACATGCTCTGAGTTTGTGTAGTGCAACTCTGGGGTCAATTCCAAGGATGTCTTCAACTTTCCAAGCAAATACGTCGATGTTACGGGAGAGACAACTGATAAGTTCACCATTGTTGTAGTATTAAGATCTCGCCCAACTGTAACTTTTCTACCAGGCTTGAGCTCGATCTCCGCCAATTCTTCTACTGGAGCAAATCTCCCAAGATGCTCAAGATCAAGCTCAAGCTTCGAAAGTTGCATGACGTTAGCTTTGATTTCCTAAACGCTGGTAACATAGCATTGTCTAGCCATCGTTTGACTTCCCCGAACTATCCCGACGCTATTACTTATAGGATATTTCATTACTAGGTGAAAAGTTGAGACAATAGCTTTAACTCTATTAAGTAGCATCCTTTTGAGTATGGTGTTGTAGGCCATGAAAGCACGGACTACCTGGAAGATTGTGATCTGTGTTAACTGTTTCTCTTCTGATCCTAAGGTAAGAGGTAACCCAACAATACCTTCTGCAATGATGACACCACCTCCAAAACCCTGAAGGGGGGTTTTGATCGGCTTGAGTTGTTCGGCCGAAATACCCATATGAATGAAAGCCTCGTGGGATAATACATTAGCTGCGCTTCCATTATCCATCAGAATTCTCCTCACCTCAGAATTGGCAATGATCGCCGATATGACAAAGGCATTATCATGAGGAAAAGCTACGCCTTTTAATTTATTTGATCTGAAAGTGATGTCTTCCATATTATTAAGCTTTGTGCTTGAAATTGACGGATATTGTCTGGCGTGTTGTTTACGCTCGTTGCTCGAGTCCTGTATTTATAGATGTTGATTATATTAATGGTACCCTTTATTGGTTGCTTTTTTCCCCGGTCTTCTGGAGCCTTGTCCTTATTCTGGTTGTTCATCCGACGTTTGTTATGGCTGATGTAATCACCTAAAAAATCCCTCTTGATGAGAGCTTTAATTTCTTGCTTTAGGGCGAAGTAATCTTCGGTTGTGTGCCCACGATCTCAATGAAAATCACAGTACTTGCTACTATCATGGGTATCCAGCGGAGTTCGCAACCTTGGAGGCCATTTCAGCTTCTTAAGGTCCTTGATCTCCATCAGAATGTTAGACATCGTGGTGTTCAATCGAGTGAAGGATGCTGGAGTGGGGGTCTTACCTTGGTTTACGCTAGAAAGGATCCGAACATAGGTTAGACTTATACAGCCTTTTCTGTTCGGGCTTACTTGATGACTGGGCATTTCTCCTTGGGGGCACGGTTTCTTCCATGTTGATGTATTTCTCAACTCGGCTAAGTAGGTCAATCACTTATTTGGGAGGGGTCTTTGACGGAGACATTTTGAATGCTTCACATCCCTTATGGCATATGTTAAGGCAGAGACGATGGCTATGATATGTAGATCGGGAATCTGAAGTCTTTCTTTGTTAAACCTTTTCATGAAATTGCGAAGTGTTTCATTGGGTCCTTGATGCATCTGCATGAGTGATGCAGTTGTCTTCTCGATATGCTTGCTGCTAGCAAAGAAAATGGAGAATTTATGGGTCAAGTGTGAAAAAGAAGCTATGAAGTTGGGTTCCAATGTGGAAAACCAATCCCCAGACGTATTAGTGAACATCTGAGGAAAAGCTTTGTACATTATTGCATCAGGTGCAACTTGTAAGTTCCTGATATCCGTGTATATGTTGAGATCATTAATGGGGTCGATTGCCCCATCGTATGCCTTTACCCGTGGATATTTAAATCCGTCCGACAGAGGATATGATAAGACTTAAGGGTAAAAAGAGTGTTAGGGGTAAACCCTGTTGTTGCCTGAGTATTCTGAAGCATACTAGCCACGATCCCATCCCGAATAATCCCGACAAGATTCGCAGAGTCCATCGTAATTGATCTCGAGCCCGAGGTCATACGAGGTATGCCTGAGGTTTGGGCATCACCGTTTCCAGGACTGGTAGCTCGAGCATTCGCCATAAGACCACCTTGTGGTGGTGCTGCTGGATGTGGATTTCTTTGAGTTAATAGCTGAGTTAGCGAGGTAACCTGTTGCTAAAGCTCCTCAAATGCTTCAAGAGCAATGACTGCTGGTGGGGGTATTAGTTCTCCTGACGATCTTGATCTGGATGTTCGAATGCCGCACAAATTGATCTTCAATACTAGAAACAAAGGCATCTGGGTGTGTCCTCGTCGTCCCTCTGATACTTAAGTTAGAGAGAGAATTTATGCGAAAGGCTATATGCTGGAAATCATGTAAAGACGTACCTGAATAATAAACCTTGATCCTGTATTTATATTGGTGATGGAGTTCTAAAAGAATCCAACCACTCATGGTTGTTATCCTTATCATGTAAGGTGTTTGTGTTATATTGAAAGTGTTCTATTTAAGTTTGAATCAAACTTTTGGTAGGTTGACAGTTTCGATTAGGATAAAGGTTATGGAAAGTTACGATCAAAATATGATTAATGTTTCTAATGGGTATGAGATAAGGACAAGGGCATCTTTATTATGAAACAGATCCCGACCTCTAACGCTCGACCTTAAGCCTTGGACATTTTGGTGGAGGCGAGTTCAAGCTTCAGAGCTCGAGTTCGGGGAATGAGACCATATTTTCTTGTATCACATATCAACTCCAACAACGGGATGTATATAAAATATCTTAGAATACAAATCTAAATAAATATGTAAAATACACCCATCAAATACTTGATTAAAATTTTCTACATATTAATGAGGTCAAGCCCTTTACTAAGGCCCTGTTTGGCCCCCATTTTTTGGGGTTGAAAATTTGTAGAATAGTGATTGATGAGAAAATGTATGGTGGAAAAGTTTTAGATTTGTGTGTAATTTTATTTTATTTGAGAATGTGTGGTTAATCATTTTAGAGACTAAGATTACATATATTAATATAGTGAATCGTTTTCATTGTATCATAATCATAGAAACACATAATCAAAAGAATGTTTTTACATTTTGATTTGAAGTTACCTAATACTATGAATATGGTTTTGACGTTGTCTGCCATTGTGTCCATATGATGTTAGACAACATGTGATGTATTGCTAATTTAATTTAAAAGTAATAAAGAATAAAATCATTTCAAGAGCTTTATATTCATCTTATGAACACAACTTTGTTTTAGTTATCGGAAGCACTGGCTAAGCACTAGGTGATGTGACTCACCACCTATTATAGGGGGTGTTTGTTTTTGATTTGAGAATTGATTATCAAATCAATTCTCATTTTCAACCACATATTCTTCAATAAAATAATATTTTTTATCACATCAATAATTTTTTCTTCTTTTTCAACCACATATTCCCCATCATATAACTATTTAAAAATCAATTCTTCCCCCAAAAATTCCTACCAAACAAGCTCATAGTGTACCGTGTCACTCGTGTGCTTAGCATAAGTTAAACACTGATACTTACGAGATCATTCTTGGTTGATTATATACCAAGGAATTACCATACTAAAACTAAGCACGTGTAACGTTGTTAATCGTTTAGTATGAAACACCAAATTCATGATTAAATTACATGCTATTGCCATGAGAAACCTGTTGCCAGTCACACGATTATCAACATTTTTTACTGGTATGTTAAATATTCCTCAAAATAAAGTTCTTTCTTCTTTTTTGAAAATAATGTTTGATCTGAATAAAATTCAACGCAAAACGCTACAAATAAATGTAGCGGTTACCTGCTTATTTTTCTTGAATAAATTAATGAAATGATGATGTCTGCAATCCAAAAAAATAAATGCAGGTTCATTTTTTGCTTAGTTCCATTAGTGTTAAGTATCAATTCATGTGTCGTGAGACTACGGTTTCATTTGATAATGTAGTAGTAGTTTCACCGTCACGAGTAATGCTATTTATCATTGGATAATGTTCCCAATTAATAATAAATAATATTTTTAAGAGTAATGATTTAAAATATTTGAATCATAATATTAATTGATATATTATCTTAAATGAGATGAATGATCATCGATAATCTCGATACATAACATTATTTTATCATTAAACATAGGCGAGTGCTTAACATTACTGAATCTGCACATACAGATGTCAAAATTCTGAACACCACCTCACATAACTGCAATGCATGCAAATCTACTATGGATAAGGATAACTTAATTTGTGTCTTGAATTCAGTGCAGATAATTAAGTAATCACCAAATAAAATTAATTGTTTTTCATCAGAAGAATTAAATCAAAAATCTCCATGCAAAAGTCAGCTTAAAATTTAAGGGTTTTTGCATTAAACCTAGAACTGTAAAAATCTTGAATAAAGTGCCACATTTGTGTCTGAATTTTTTATGTTTCCATGTGTTTTTCTGTATCTTTAGCCACTGCATGTCAAGCAGGTGACATCATATATATGCCAAACGCCACCTCTTCCTCCCTCGCCTATATATACAACATTTATCTTTCGCATATCTATATTTCTTGTTTGTTATAAGTTTTTCAGTCTTTCTTTTCTTCTGTTGTTAGCCATGTTCTCTAAAGACGAGGCTCGTACTGCTGTTGGGATTATAGGTCAGTTCTTGATTTTATGTTCAACAGCTCTTTCCTGTGTATATGCTTGTATACATATGGTGTTTTGAGTTTTAGTGGTGGTTGGGCGGTGGCCTGTGGGAGCAGTGGCGGAGCTATGGTTTTTGCGAGGGAGACTAGAAAATACTGAAGGGACAAAATATACTTGTATGATATGAATATATTTAAAAAATATTATATAAATTTGTAAAATTTTCAAAATCTTGAAGTGACTTTTTTATTTTATACCTTTCAACTAACGTGAATTTGATTTGTTCAGTGAACCTCCCACCACTAAGAATTCTAGCACTGCTTTTCTGACAAAGTGGTTTAACCCTTGTTTATTTTCAGGAAACATCACTGCACTCATATTGTTTTTGTCACCCGTGTGAGTTCCTTTTCCTATTTCTTTTTAAAATATAATTGTTTGATTTTATTAATCTCTTTTGCATAAAAATGATTAAGTCTAAAATTATTTTGTCTTATAATTCAGGCCAACATTTTATCGAATATGGAAGAAAAAATCAGTGGAACAGTACTCACCAGTGCCATACCTAGCCACCTTTGTGAATTGTGGGCTATGGGTTCTGTACGGACTGCCAATGGTGCACCCACATAGCACCCTAGTGGTGACCATAAATGGTACAGGGTTTGTAATTGAGGTTATATATTTGTTACTCTTTCTTATATACTCTGATAGAAAGAAGAGGCTGAGGTTGGTGTTAATAGTGGCGGCGGAATGCCTGTTCATGGCGGTTTTGGCCCTTCTCGTCCTAACTTCGGTCCATTCGATAAAACTCCGGTCGACCATTGTTGGGAGCATATGCATGGTGGGTAACATTATGATGTACGCTTCACCGTTAGCAGTGATGGTGAGTTAGCTACACTTTTGAAAGATTTCGAGCATGTTTGGGGTGGCTTAAGAAAAGTAAAATTATGTATTTTAGATAATTTACATTTATATTTGGCAATAAATTTACTTATAAACAAAATCAGTATGACAAATTATTGTGTATGCTGCAGAAACTGGTGATCACCACAAGAAGTGTAGAGTTTATGCCATTTTTTCTTTCCCTTTCCTCCTTTCTCAATGGCATTAGTTGGACTACTTACGCCATCATTCGTTTTGATCCCTTCATCGCAGTAATTATTCTCCATCTTTCGCCTTTTATTATCATCTTTAAATGATTAAAAACTCCATTCTTATCAGTTATCAGTCTAACTGTGATTTTTGTGATGATCAAGGCACCTAATGGAATGGGTTCATTACTTGGTTTGGCTCAGTTAATTCTATATGCCACCTTCTACAAATCAACCCGAAGAATGATGACTGAAAGGAAGGCCAAATCTGAGGTGGGCTTGGTAGAAAAAGCATATGCAGGAAATACAAAGAAATCCAACACTGAAAATCAAAATGGCAATGTTTTAGAAGTTTAATGGAGTAGGCCATTTTGCAGCCTCGAAATACACTTTTCCTATGTAATTTTATCTTCGCTTTTCCTTGGCTTGTTTTCAAAGAAACTAGAAAGAATGCTACAGAAAAGTTGGCAGGGATTGTGAAAGTTTTAAGTTATTTAGACCCATGTGCAGAATTACGCAATTAAAAGTAATAAATCACTTTTTAATTGCTTTTAGATGATTAGATCAAACAAGTCAATTTATCCTAAATTTGAATACCACAATCAATAATTAAAGCAGTAAAGAACACCAAAGATGATCATGGAGAAACTCCAACCGGGTAAAAATTACGGGCACTTTGTTAGTCAATAATCTACTATAAATTGAAGCAAACTTACAGTACGGTCCAGACCCATCTACCCCGTAGAACTTCTAACCTCAATTCCTGGAGTCTCCCTTGATCCTACTGGAGGTGTGCTTCTTCAAAACAAATCCCGACTCCTAGTTTATATCTTAGCCCCCCCTGGACTACGTGCTCCTGATGCCAGATTCCGACTCCTGATATCTCACCTTAATCCTCCTGAATTTGTGCTTCTGTAACAGCTCCCGATCACTTGTATCGATTTATTTCTGATGGATTAAATGGTTTGGTATTTGATCAAAAGATCTTGTGTGTTTTGATCTGTGATTTAATATGAAACAGTATGGCTAAATCAACAAATCAAATTTTAGATGAAATTATGGCTCAAATAATATGGTGGAACTTATAAACTTAGTTACTTACACAAAAAAATTTTCAAATGAATGATCTCTATGAAAAATATGATTCAACACACTTTTAGACGTTCATAGGGTATGATATATATAGCGAAAAGTGTTTAGGATGAAAAGGAATTGAAAAATCATGTATTTGAAGCAAAACAAAATTATGAACGTCGACAAGTCGCTTAAGTGCCAAGCCAGCGACAAGCGAGCAGCAGCTGAACAATTATCAGTATTTTTATCATAATTTTCTCCCTCGAAATCCGATTGCGGTTATTCAAAGCGCGTTGGAAATCTAACTCAAATGGCTACAATTATTTTAGAAATAACCTTATCCATATTCCAATATTTTCTATGTGAAAAATATATTGCAAATTGCAATTGAGAATGTGGAGCATAACTTGTACGACTCTTGACACTCTTTGGACTTCTAAATGCATTCCAATGATCATATGTGATAATCTTGAACTCATTCAAGGACTATACTACCAACCCAACTCTTTTGACTTTAATTAGGATTCTATAACTTCTATTTTGACTTTGGTTACAACTCAATAAACTCCTAATATAATTCAACTAGAACTTGATTTTGATTAAGGAAATTGTCAATTATAATTTGGACTTAACATATTGTTTAAGTGATTGTCTTTGTTTCTTGCTCAAATAATCATAGTCGCTGACTGTACAATGGTATAGGTGACATGTTGGAAAATTGGTTTTAATTAGTTGGTTTGACCAACTTTTGACTAATTATTTTAGTGGATCTTGTTAGTTGGACAAAAGATTTCTTTGATCGAGTGTATTCTACTCTATGAGTAGATTAATTTAATATATTTATTTTTTCAAAATCAATTTAGGGTGAATGAGCAATTATAATAAAAAAAATGATCACTTGAAGTTGAAATAAATTGAAAATAAAAATTGGTGGGAAATTGAAAATGACAATCACACATGGGAAAATTAAAAGAATAGAAACTACTTTATATTACTCAAGTATGGGGACTTGGGTTTTGCCTCTAAGGAGTACCAAATAGTCTTTGATTGTGAGATAAAAAAGGTTAGTAGGTTCACCAGGTCTACTATTACAAGTCAATGTCATTGTATCTTGGGAGATGAGTGCCGGAAAGCCATCAGCACCAGCACGGGACATTATCGTTTTAAGGAGAAAGAGTCGAACTCTTGTCTAGACCATTATCATTTTATTTCTTTCATTTCTGCAAGTCGGTATTCTACCCAACTGTTTATTCACCGTAAAATATTATTCAGAAAATAAATTATTGCAGGGTGAAATCATTATTTGCCAACAAATTTAGGATGATATTAGAAAGTAATACATATGTTGTACCCCCTAACAATGCTCAAGGGGAGAAATCAAAAAAATTCACGGGAGTGAATTTTAAGAGACGGTAACAAAACAATGTTTTATTTCACAACTCTGAATTTGACAAAATTCTTAAGTGAAGATGCTCAAATCGTTGAGGAGGAAACAGATCCTAAAAACGAGCAGCATTCAATGCATGTAGTCATAATGACTTCTTGTGCAGGAAATACATCCTCAATTTCCTTAACAACGCACTAATCTATCAAGACAACTAAATTACTATGAGAATCATTGGAAAAGAAGTACCAAAACGGAAGATGCAGGATTGAAGAAATTCGTTATAGGCAAATTCTTGGACTTCAAATTGGTAGATTCTAAAACAGTGATGGATCAAGTTCAAGAGTTACAAATCATCTTCCACGAGATACATGCAAAAGGTATGAAACTCTATGAGTTATTTCAGGTCATTGCGATTATCGAAACATTACCACCAATGTGGAAAGATTTTCAAAACTACCTGAAACATAAACGCAAGGAAATGGGATTTGCAGATATGATTGTAAGATTAAGAATTAAGGAAGATAATCAAAATTCTAAAAAAAAATCTGAAAAGTTGCAAATGGAGGCTAAAGTCAATTTGGTGGAGCCAAATACTAGCAAGAAAAAGAAGCACTCGGGTAATGGCAAGCAAAAGAACAAGACCAAGAAATTCAAAGGAGATTGTTACAATTGCGGAAAGCGTGGTCATATCTCAAAGGACTGTCGACAGAGAAAGCAAAACAAAAAGGACCAAGTACATTTAACTGAGGAAGACAAATTGTCTAACGGTTTATTTGAACTAATGCTCTCAACTTTTGTATTTGAAGCAAACATGGTGGAAAATTTGAGAGAAAATGGTTCGTGGCGCTACTCGTCATGTTTGTGCTGATATGGAGATGTTTTTATCTTACACTTCCATTGGTCTAGGTAAAGTAGTGTTGAAAATGACATTGAGGAACGAAGTAACACTCATCGATGTGCTGCATGTTCCGGATATTCGCAAGAACTTGGTATCTGGAGCTTTGTTAAGCAAGAGTGGCTTTAGGCTAGTATTTGAATCTGCTGCATGTTCCCGATATTCGCAAACATTTGGTATTTGGAGCTTTGTTAAGCAAAAATGGATTTAGGCTAGTATTTAAGTTTGATAATTTTGTACTCACCAAAAATTGCATGTTTGTGGGCAAGGGGTACTTAACCGATGGGTTATTCAAAATGAATGTAATGCATGTACTTCATAATTTTGATATTAATAAAAATAAATTTTATACTAACTTAATTGAGTCTTCTAACTCATAACATGCTAGATTATGACATGTTAGTGTTAATAATTTACGTAAATTAGTAAGGTTAGATTTATTACCTTCAATTTCATTTGATCAAAATCATCGGTGCGAAACATGTGTAGATGCTAAATTATCCAAAACACTGTTTCATTAAATTGAAAGGAACTCGAATCCTCTAGAACTGATTCACAGTAATTTTTGTGATTTACAATTTGTACAAACTAGAGAAGATAAAAAGTATTTTATTACTTTTGTAGATGGTTGCACGAGGCACTGTTATATCTATTTGCTAAGAAGCATGACGAGACGTTTAAGTAGTACAAGAATGAGGTTGGAAATCAACTAGCAAACAAACAAAAGTTGTTCGTAGCGACACGGGTGGAGAATATGGAGCACCATTTGAAAAATTTGTTCAAATTCTGGGATTATTCACCTTACTACAGATGCTTATTCATCTTAATCGAATGATATTGCAGAACACAAAAATCGTACTATGAAAGAAATGATGAACGCTATGTTAATTAGTTCTAATTTATCTCAGAATTTGAATGGGGAAGTAATCCTCTCAGCTAATCACATTCTAAATAATTTTACCACACAAAACTAGGAGCAAAACTCCTTTTGAGTTATGAAAATGTTATAAACTTTCGTACAAATACTTAAAAGTGTGGGAGTTTTTGGCTAAGGTAGAAGTACCAAAGCCTAAGCAAGTTAAAATAGGGCCTAAAACCATCGATTGCATATTCATTGGATATGCTAATAACAATAGTGCTTATCAGTTCATTGTACATAAATCTGACATTTCAAATGTGCATGAAAATACTATCATTGAATCTAAGAATTGTATACCTTTTGAAGACATTTTTCATTGTAAGGATAAGAAAGAGATAAGTTCGCAAAAAAGAACTTATAATGTCAGATTGGTAATTATCAAAGTGAGGACCAAAATGAACCAAAGACATTCAATGAAGCAATGTCTAGTCCAAAAGTTCCATTCTGAAAAGAGGCTATCAATAGTGAAATTGATTCTATTATGCATAATCATACCTGAGTTGGTAGATCTCCTACCGATAACAAACCGTTAGGATGTAAATGAATTATCAATTCTTTTAATTTCTGACTACCTAGTATCGATATATATAAGGCTAGATTGGTAGCTAAATGATTCAAACAAAAAAGTCTTGATTTTTTCGAGACATACTCATCCATGACAATGATAACATTTATTAAAGTAGTAATTGCAATCGCAACATTGCATAATGTGGAAATCCATAATATGGAAGTTAAAACAACTTTCTTATTTGGTGAGTTAGAAAAAGAAATTAATATGGAACAACCCGATGGGATCATTGCTCCTGGAGAAGAGAAAAAAGGATTGTAGGCTCGTTAGTCGTTATACGGACTAAAGCAAACGTCTAAACAATGACATGTAAAATTTGACAAAACTGTGTTGTCAAATAATTTTAAGATTAACGAATATAACAAATATGTTTATATTAAAACCACGCCTAGTGCATATGTAATCATATGTTTATATGTTGATGAAATGCTAATTATGTGTAGTACTTGTGATATCATAAATAACAAGAAAATGTTGACAAAATATTTTGACATGAAAGATATGCGCATGGTAG